TTATTAATTATATTATGTTAATTTTTATATAATTTAAAAATTAAAATTATTTTTAATTTTAACGGTAAATTATTAAATATTAAAATTAATTTTTACTATTAATAGAATCTGATTTTAAGAGTAAAAAACAATACCAAAACGCAGCCCTAGTCAGGCAATTCATACGGCGCCGTTAATTTGCTTCACCTTGTGGCTTGTCACTATGAAATCAATAATAATATTTAACTGTAAATTATTAAATACTAAAATTAATTTTTAATATTTCCTTCGCCTTTGCGAACTTCCCTTCCTCCTCCTCTTCCTTACCTTCCCACCATCCCCAAAACCCCAACAACTCTCCATTTTTTTCCGCAGCACCATGCCCGACCCGGAAGACCCAACAAAACCCACTTCCCAAAATGCCCTCCGGACCCCTCAGAATTACCCCGTGCCACTGTCTCCTCCTCCGCCTCCCGTCTCGAAGGACGTAGAGCTTAGCAGAGCCATGTCCGCGTCTTCAAAATCCAGTCTTTTCTCCATATCCAGAAACGACTTCGTTTTTGAAGACGAATGTCTCGTCGCCGTCAACAAGCCTCAGGGAATCTACTGCGAGAGTGTGTTCGACTCGGTCCGGAAGGTTCTCAGTGACTCGTCTGAGCCAGGTCAACTCGGTGAGTCTCTTGTTTTCTCAAATCCATTTGATTTTTATTTTTTATTTTGGGTCATGGGTATTTTGGGAAATTTTTATTCTTCGTATTGAACTCCTTTTTGTTCTTCAAATCAATTCTGTGAAATGCATTTCAAGTGGACTGGTAATTTGATGACTAATGTCCGTTCATTTCACTAATTTGAGTTTAAAATTTAAGTTTTATTACAGTGAAAAGCTCTCAAAAACAGTCACATTTAACTTTTTTATTACAATAAAAAATTCTTACATAAAATCACATCTACTCAAAAAGTGAACGGATCTTTAACGGACTCCCGATATCCTAATGATTCGGTTTTTGCAGAATGTTATGGATTGTTAGGCATATTAAAGACCCTTTTTATTCTAAACGACACCGTTTTTTCAACAAATAATTGGCATTTTTCAATTCAGCAATGAGAGTAGCTGGCAGTCTAATAATGGATGGAGTTAGTTTGAAAGTACTCTTGATCATAAAATGAGGTTCTAATTATGTTCAATGTTGATTTAACTGTTAAAGAAGGTCAATAACACTAGCAAAATCACATAAATGACCACTCATTTTTTGAATAAGTTAGGCTGGATACCACTTTTAAAGTCTAGTTGTTCATCAGTACCATTTTTATTGTGTAAATTATGCTTAAATTTTCTATATATATATATATATAAGGATTCTATATTTGAGTACCAAGTCTCTAGAAGTGGCATTCCTCTAATTCACGGTCTTTTGATAGAGGCTGGGCGTGCATGTGAAGGTCTATTTAATCTGGCATACAATGAGCCTGGCACATGTCACTGAACATTTAAGAAATTTTTAGTTAAGAGTTCAATGCAAAGCAGAATTTTTAGTTCTAGATGATTTGGTGCCTTAAATAGGTTGAAGTCTATGTCGTGACCGAATGCAATTGCCATTGAGGTCTTAACGGTGGGATTCGAGGAACTTAGCTATAAAAAAGGAAAAATTGCTATTTTATTCAGTTTCTTTACTCTCTTGGTCATTTGCTGAGTCCGAAATTCATTTCTAGAGACTGAAGCAAGCCCACCAGAGCTCCATCTTGCGAACCGCCTTGATCGTGACACCAGTGGACTAATGCTTATCACCAAGTCACATAAAGTAGCGTCCAAGCTTGTGAAGGCGTTTACAACTCACAAGGTTTCCAAAACATATATTGCGTTTTGTGTAGGATCAGCTCCAAAGTGGGAAAATATCACCATTAAATCAGGCCATGGAAGGTCAAAGTTCGGGGCCTGGCGTGTGTATGCTGCATCAGATGTGGGCAGGACGCTTCCAGGTGGGTCGGTTGTAAGAGACATGGAAACCTCATTCGAAGTGTTGTCGGTAAATGGACAAAGGGTTTCCAAAGAGCCTTCTGAATTTAGAAAAGATGGGAATAATGTCTTAATAGTTGAAGAGAAAGCTTTAATAGATAGAGATGGAAAGAAGGATGAGATTTTGGTAAGAGCTCGTCCTAAAAGTGGAAGATCACATCAAATCCGCCTGCATTGCCAGTACCTTGGAATTTCCTTAAGAGGGGATGTCAAATATGAGGGTGTCTCCCAGTGGAAAGGGAAAACTTACAATGGTCATGAACTTCATGCCGAGAGCTTGTCGTTTGAGCACCCTATTACCAGCCTTCCAGTTGTGCTTAGCACGCCTCTGCCGATGTGGGCGAGCCAGGTAACACAGCAATGATCATGTATAGCCATTTGTTACACTTGAAAAACATTTGGCCCGCTGTTGCTTTCCGACCATAAATCTCTGCCAGAAAATGTGGTCTGATTCCTTGTATTTGGGGCATCACTATATGAAGTATGAAGTTGATTCAAGTTGGTGATTTCTCAAGTGCTAGATGTTACTCTGAGAAAAGGCTTGCAGCTACATGATATTTTTCTATTTCCCCGGCAGGACGGTGTCAAAAAACCAACAGACACTGACAGTTGTGCTGCAGCCCATCTCTCAGCAGATTTAGAATGGTTATAGATTTCCTCTAGGACATAAATTGTTCTTTTGGATTATATGGAGGAAGAAGCAGAATATGATATCTTGCGTAAAAGAATGACAAAAACACGTCATGAATATGATGAGGTAATACGGATGTAACAAGGTGCCGTGATGCAACTATTGAGTTATATTTGCCTAGTATTTCGCTTTAGGAAGTTATTAGACTTTGTTTGATGTTGACTATGACAATTTTTGCATAAAGCATTATTCATTAAACATATGTTAATGAATTTTTGTATTTTGTTATCAGTGTCGATACAATTTTTGTTCTAGATTGTTTGGTTTTAGTGGCACTAGGGGTTTGGGTGGGGTGGTTTTTTTTTTTTTTTTTAAGCAATTTCATATATTAAAATCTATAGTGATGGGTATTGCTATCTAGTTGACTTTTCATCAACGTGTGAAATGCTGTTCTAAATCTGCAAACTTCAGGATTTTTCTAGAACTTTGATTTTGATTGGCATGGTAATTAGAATAACACAAACACAATATGCACCGTTTACAATAAGAAGATCATTGTAATTGTCCAAGTCTGATGTCAAATCTCTTATGTATGTTTCTTCTCCACTGCTTTATATATTCATT